GCGAAGCACAGCTGGTGCTTACAGTAAAGGACTTTAGCTGGGTCATAAGATAAGCATCTAATTCGATCCTTCTTTGCCCTATGCTGAGGTCTTTGAGGAGCCGGGGGTCTGAAGACTTGAAGACGGCAGTGATGCTTCCTCCCGTGGCAATGGACTTGACGCACTCCGGGGAAGGCAAAATAAGGCTGACGAGATTAATGTCTTTCCCTTCGAGAATTTTCGCTCTAAGCCGTGAGGAAATGTTAGCGGCTTGGGGAATGTAAATCCTGCCTGAAGGAGGAGGTGGGAGGGCGGAAGCCAGGGAGTGAGAGGGAGCTACCGCTTGTGGATGTAAAAGACCCTGACCCGGCATAAACCCTGGCGGTACCGAAGCAGAAGACCCGGCCCTGTTCGCGGAAGAGGTTGAAGCTCCAGCAGGGCCCTTTTCCATGGACTGGAGGCGAGCTTCGATTAGCAGCAAGGAGCCTGATCTCTCGGGAGAGCTGGCTGGAGCTGCTGGCTTGGGCTGGGGGACCGCGCCAGAGACTTGGTCCGAGAGCTCCCGAAGCTGGGAGAGAGGGAGATCTGGGGCTGCAGAAATGCCCTGCTGCAGTAGATGAGAGAAGAGGAAGTCTGCCTCTGCCGTACGTGAGCCTCCACGGGAAGCCAGACGGGCGCTCATGCGCCGGTGGCTTGAGGAGTTGGAAGCTACTTCTGGAGGAACGTCGGAGCCAGGATCGAGATCCTTCGAAAAAGGTTAGTTGTCGGAAAAGTCTGAATTAGACATCTTGAGGTTATATATTCCTGAGTGTTTAACGGAAGAGGAGTATTAGTGTACTACCATTTGCGTATTGTCACCTGGAATGACATCTGACAAGAGGGAAGAGCAGATATAAAGGGATTAGCGGGTGCAACGATAGGCTTGTGAGAATGGAGTGAGGAGTGATTGGTTAGCTGGGGAGTGACGCCCCCGATCACTTAATGAGGGAGGAGAGGTTGAAGAAGTGACGTGTAATATGAATGAAGAGCTTGGTCTTCCTGCTTGAACTTGCGCTAAGCTTCATTTGTCCCACTAAAAACGATTTATAATCATTATTTTTGCATTTAAATGATTTATGTTATCATTAATATGGTTCTCCAACACAATGCACATAGTCTGGAGCTCACTGGGGTCCTGCATATGCTTTAATCAGGCGTTTTAACATTTTTCCATGAAAATTATTTGTATTCACAATCATGGGGCTATATAAATCAAATTCCGGGTAAATCGGAGCACAATTGTACCTTTTACTATTTAAATGTATTTGTATTATATATTTTTGTGCTATAAAAGTGACATTTCTGGGTGATTTTGTCAGTTTATGGAGCTTAGCCCACAAATCCTGGAGGTTCCATTGCTGAATTTGGGAGCTCATAGGCGGCCTGCCATGGGCCCCCACCTGTGGAAAGAAGAAAAAAGTAAAGAAAACGGTCAATTATATCTTAAAATAATCAAAAATGAAGTTTTAAAAAATTGTCGAAGAAAACGAAGAAGGGGCTCTAAAAAGCTCAACCTATTGGCGCTTCGGGCCTAAGCCCCGGACACTTTTCCACTTCTCCGTTGCAACTTACAACGGAGTGGGGAAACCAAGCTTCCCCTTCTCCGTCAAAAAAATGCATTCATCCATTTCAGACTACTGTCTGCACGAAATCGGACACCCGGTTTTTGAGAAGACTCAGAAAAAAAACGGCTGTCTGATGTCCTGGAGAAATTCATCCGCTCCATGTGCACTCTGGCTCGGATAGATTTGTTGCCTGGAGACCCCCCAGCCTGGTTCTTACCAAACTTTAAGTTTTTGAACTGGTCTCTGGAGGAATGTAAGGGGAGTTTGAGGAGACTCTAACTGCATTATGAGGCACTATTTTCGGATACATTTCCTCACTTTTACCCATTTTTTATGTTTCTCCAAAAAGTTCACTCAGACTTTTTTCTGACTGGAGGAATGTTAGGGTTAGGTCCGGTCTGACATCGTTTCGCTCTCTGCTGCAGAGAGGAAGAGAAGATCACTGCTCTAAACAAAGTCAAAAATCGTGCATCCAAATGGAATACATATAATTAATCATTATTAATACGTTAAGTCTTGTTCATTGTCTTGTTCACTTTTATTAAATGTTTGATATTTCCGGCACATACCCTTTCATACCGGCTGTGGAAGCTATTCAGTATTTTTCACATGTATTTAATGTATTTATTTGTTATTCTTTGTTTTGTAGAATTAATTAGGGCCGGGACTCGATTAAAAAAATTAATCTAATTAAAGGCTTTGTAATTAATTAATCGAAATTAATCGCATTTTTAATCGCATATACATATTTGACCTAAGAACAGTGAGAAGCAATTTTTTTTTCACATGGATTTTAGTATACCATTAGGCGCATTCACACCGCAGTACTTTTCCCACAAAGGTTCATGAGAACTTAGTTCATGAGAACTCTTTGAACCTGGGGGAGGATTAGGCAAATGAAGCCGCTGACGTCACTTCTTCTTCTTCTGCTTTGGGTTTACTGGCAGGCCGCAAATCACTTCACGGCGTATACTGCCGCCCAAAGTCCCCGGCCGGAAGTCCCCGGAGTTGGGGACTGGCTTCAGTAGAAGCTGCTGGGAGTCCCAGCAGCCTTCCGAGTAAATCGCCAGAACGCCGACACCTCCTCATCTCCACCGCTCCCATGTTTTATTTTGTGTTGCCATAAGTTAGTCTCTCTGCGTTTCTGCGCTGGGCTAATGCTAATAATGCTAATGCGAGGATAATAAAATGGCGGCTTCACAAATCTTTTTGGGAGTTTTACGGGGCGTGGTTTGCAATCCGCCCAGCCAATCAGAAATATAGCTCTTTTCTCACAAGAGAGCCGTACGAAAGTCCCTGCTCTCTAGCAGCTCTCTGCTCTCTAGCAGGGACTTTCGTGGGGGTAAAAAGGTTCTCATTAACTAATTTTAGTACCGGCTCTTTTTGGTGTGAACGCGATAAAAGAGGCTAACGTCCACGCTAGCTTCCACGCTAGCTGCTATATGTTTTGCATTGAGGTGATACTTGAGGCTTGATGTGCTGCGGTGATATGCAAATTCCTTTTTGCATAATTTGCACACAACCGTGCTCTTATCGACGCTTCCATCCGTCCGTTTTTTAAAACAACATTTCCCACTGTTGTTCACTGTGGTTTGTTGTTGTCTGAAGTCATGAACGTTAGTTGGTGCTCCAGTATAATCGGTACGCCTGAAACTCATCCAGTGAGAAACGTTCCGCGGTGCAAAAATAAGTGCGATTAAAATGCGTTAATTTTTTTAACGCCTTCATTTTTGTGTAATTAATTAATCTTAATTAACGCGTTAAAGTCCCGGCCCTAGAATTAATCAATTTACAGCCATATTATTTAAGTATATACACTTTTATTAAATGTTTGATATTTCCGGCACAGACCCTTTCATACCGGCTGTGGAAGCTATTCAGTATTTTTCACATTTATTTAATGTATTTATTTGTTATTTTTTGTTTTGTAGAATTAATTGATTTACAGCCATATTATTTAAGTTAAGTTGTGTTCCAGCTAAAATGCTTTTATTTTGAAGGTGATGGGTCAATTTGGGAACACAGCTGGGTTTATTTAAGTCAATCAGGGCACAGCAGCAGTCAGTGGGCACCGGGAAGGTCTATGGTTTTTTACCAGTATCAGGGCTGAGTTCAGCAAACATTTCAACACCTTTTGCTGTATTGTTCTTGCCAAGGTGAAGCTAATAAATACCACAAAAACGTTGATGCCTTGTCTGGACAATGGACTCATTACCAACTCATGATCTGCGTAAGATCCACTATACCTGGTGCCTCAGTGGCCTTTTGAAGTGTTATTGTTGTTGACAAATAGCCACTACAGGCACAGTGCAGGATATTCCTGTCTATGTTTAAATCTCCTAGAAAATAAATCTCTCTGTGACGATCACACACTTTATCTAACATTTCACATACTTAGTTTAAATAAATTAGGTTTGCATTTGGAGGACTGTAACAACATCCTACTTACAAAGGTTTCAAGTGTGGTAAATTAATTTGCAACCAAGTGCACCAAAAAGGTCCAGTTTACATAATGTCCTAGTGTCTAATCCAAATGAACAATGGCTTACCCTTAGAAAGACAATGTGTGACCACAAGTGACACATGTAAGATTTTAACTTTGGAAAATGTTAGACAACAGATTTATCATTTAGATATCTTATCACTGGCGCAGACTGAAAACTCATCTCTTTCGACTCCACTTCGAGCGATAGAATTACTAACAAAGAACTGCTAACAGAGCACTTATATACTAATAAAGGACTGGCTTACCTAAAGCCAGTTGAGTAGCACTTGAAATGTTTTGGCTCTATGAAACCTGATGGGTTCTGCCGGGTCCTTTCACTCCGTTAGGAACCTTCCTAAGCTTAACTGACCCTCTTCCTCCTTTGTCATGTGCCAGTTCGCCTCATTCCATGCCATGTCAAGAAAGCCAGCGTGTTTCAAGCTAAGAACTTTATTTACCATCTACCAAGAGCCACGTTAATTAAATCTTGTATTATTTGCAATTTGCCTTTGCACATTCTTTCCTACATTTTGTAAACACTTTTGTTTTTGTACTTTTATTGTTGAGTCGCTGCATTTGAGTCGCAGTCATTGTGTCATGTTCTTTACGTTTTTCACACTTTCCACTCTCAAGAAAAACAAATGTATGCAATGCAGAAGCCCAAGATTAGGTAAATAATTACTTAATTAATACTGTATGTAATAACACAAATATATGACTTATTCACCATCTTTATATAAAATAAACGTAAAGGCAAAGAAGAGGATTTGTAAAAGCAGGGCAGATGAATAGATTAAATGAAACTCGAAAAATACAAATACAAATATTGTAAAATGAAGGAGGAGCAAAACATTCTGTGATTTTGTTACAACATTTGATGCAGACATTTTTTATTGGAAAGGAAATGTTTTATTAATCACTGTGATCTTCATCCGTTCACAATAAGGCAAGCAGGTTCATGTTGCTTTAAGGTTTTAGTATGATTGTGTCTGATATCACATTTGCATTGTTACGTATTAACATGGCTCAGTGGGTAGTGTGCTGAACTTCAAATCAGAGGATAGCAAGTTCGAGTCCCACTGCAGTCAGCATGTCGTTGTGTCCCTGGGACACTTCGTCCCAAGTTGCTCGTCCACAGTAATAAGTGAGTTGCTTTGGATAAAAGCGTCTAACAAATGACATGTAATGTCAACATGTACTGTAACATATGCAAGTAAGGTCACCTGAGGCTCATTGGGTTTATTTGTTACTAGTTCAACTGAAGGCTGAATGTTTCATATCAAACATGCAGCCTGGTGATGCATAAAGTGAAATAATACATGACTTATGGTACATCAATAATCGCTTTGGCCATAACACAAACCAGCCAAGGTGAACACCTCAGGTCACACAACAACAACTCTGTTAAGGCCGTGTTATATGAACAAATCAAGAAGTTAGTTCTTCAAACACCTCATCTTTGATTCTGATGGTCTGTCTATGAAAACGATAACACAGTTTAATCTATCAAGAGGAGTTAAAGAACGTTTGTTTGTGTTTCTCCAATTCTGCTGCCACAAACCTCATTAACCAAACAATTTGTTGTGATTAAGAAATGGCTTATTCATTTCTGAGAACCATGGTATGCTGCAGGAGGCAATGTTAAAGTGTTCCCATTTAATCCCATGCAAATGTATGTTTGACATCTTTCATCTTGTCTTTGTAAACAGCGTCAAAGTACGCTGCATCTGCCGGGGTTAGCTGGTTTTTCCAGTCTCCAACAATTCCTGAAACACAACATGGGAAGAAAAGGAAATCCTTATTAAGTTGGAGAAATATACCTTTCTATCTTATTTTGAATAGACAAATATGTTCTTGCTATTTAGAAAAACAGTATGTCAGTTTCTGAGGATTCCCTGATGGTCCTGATACCATCCACCAAACATGACTCAGCACCAATGAATGCCCTACCCCCAAAGACATGCTATGACTAGATAGTACAATATTAGTGAGAAAATAAAGCCCAGCAAACTCTCCATAAACATCATTATGTATTTCATGAACAGATTATTTCAGGATGTATTGCGCAACGGAAATACATCAGTGTGTCCTCGGTTATAGCTCCTCCAGATTCAAATAAACCTTTTGTATTCTATGTATTATTTAATGACACTCACCTTTCCTGAGAAACTCAGACTTTGTCTGGTCTATTAATTCACGAGGAACAGTAGAGAGGTTTGACATGTTGTTCTTCTTCATGTTCTTGAACAAACATCGGTCGGCTATCTTCTCTATCGCTTCATGGTCCAGAGGTTTCTGCAGGAACTGAGCCATGTTGCCCACAGAGTCCTTCAGGTCCTAAAGAGAAACAAAGATACGCTCATAGTCCTGCAGCGGCTCTCCCAGTATACACTATCTTAGTAGGAGGAGTTTGAAGATGATTGCTAAATCATGGTCAGAACTATTGGGGAAATATTTGGAAAATTGATTTGAGGCAGATTTGAGGATTGTTCCTGAGTCTCACCATTATCATCTGTTCATAGGAGATGTGCATGATGTGCTCTTCATCTGCAGCATTCAGCCAGCTCTTCATATGATCAAACCACGAGCCAAACAGAACTGGAAGGAACAGGAGACACAAGTATTCCTTTCATAAGAGGTTATCATAACTTAGTTTGTTTACTGAACCTTTCAAGATCTCCCTTGTTAAAGGCTAAACATAATGCAAAAAGCACTAAGTGGCTTTGCAAGATACACATGTATCCATGGTGTGCTAGCGACCCACAATGTATAAGAATGGACCGTCTTCTCTATTTGACTCTTGCTGGTATTTTGGGTTGCTTTAAAAAGACAGGTGCTTCAAATAAGCATTTTCAGAGAATTTATAAGAACAAGAATGTGTTTTTTGAACATTAAAGTTCGTAATCATGGGCTAGTAAAATCCCAAAACACAATTGAGAATGTGCATGATAAGTCCCCTTTAAATCAAGTTACCAGGTAAAAGGTTTTTAAGAGTTTTCGTCCCACTCACTGATATGTATGGTGTTATGAACGCATTCTAAACATTACATAGCTGTAACAATCAGAAAAACCTTTTCCATCAAGGAACTTGTGGAGGAACTGGGTCTGTGGGCCTGGGTCCACCAGGAAGGAAGCCGCCTCATGATGATGAAAAGACGATGTGAACACATCTTTGGGGTTCCTCGTCACATAGATGACCTGCAGTGATTACATTACATTACATTACATTGCATTTAGCTGACGCTTTTATCCAAAGCGACTTACAATAAGTACATTCGATCAGGAAGACACAACCTTGAAGAAAACAGAATCATATAAGTACATCAGGTTTCATAGAGCCAAACATTTCAAGTGCTACTCAACTGGCTTTAGATAAGCCAGTCCTTTATTAGTATATAAGTGCTTTGTTAATAGTTCTAACGCTCGAAGTGGAGTCGAAAGAGATGAGTTTTCAGTTTGCGCCGGAAGATGTGCAAGCTATCTGCCGTCCTGATGTCAATGGGGAGCTCATTCCACCATCTTGGAGCCAGGACAGCAAACCCACGTGTTTTCGCCGATGGGAACTTGGGTCCCCCTCGCAGCGAGGGCGCAACGAGTCGTTTGGCTGATGCAGAGCGTAGTGCACGCGCTGGGGTGTACAGTTTAACCATGTCCTGGATGTACGAAGGGCCAGATCCATTCGCAGCATGGTAAGCAAGTACCAGTGTCTTGAAGTGGATTCTAGCAGTTACCGGAAGCCAGTGAAGGGAGCGGAGGAGCGGAGTGGTGTGGGAACATTTAGGAAGGTTGAAGACCAGACGAGCCGCTGCATTCTGGATGAGCTGCAGAGGTCGGATGGCACATGCAGGTAGACCAGCCAGGAGGGAGTTGCAGTAGTCTAGGCGTGAGATGACGAGAGCCTGAACCAGAACCTGAGTCGCTTTCTGAGTCAGCTGGGGACGTATCTTCCTGATGTTGTAAAGCGTGTATCTGCAGCAACGGGTTGTAGCAGCGATGTTTGCAGTGAAGGACAGGTTGTTATCTAAGGTCACACCCAGATTCCTTGCAGTCTGAGTCGGGGAAACAACTGAGGTGCCGATGTTGATTGTTAGGTCAAGAGTGGGACAATCTTTTCCCGGGAGGAAGAGCAGCTCAGTCTTGTCAAGGTTGAGCTTGAGGTGATGAGCAGAAATCCACTGAGAGATGTCAGCTAGACAAGCAGAGATGCGTGCGACGACCTGGGTCTCTGAGCGGGGAAAGGACAGAATTAATTGGGTATCATCAGCGTAGCAGTGGTAAGAAGAACCATGCGGGCTAATGACTGATCCGAGCGAGTTTGTGTACAGGGAGAAGAGGAGGGGACCAAGAACAGAGCCCTGAGGGACCCCCGTAGTTAATTAACAAGGGTCGGACTCAGACCCTCTCCAAGTCACCCTGTAGGTACGGTCTTTCAGGTATGAGGTGAGGAGGGACAGTGCAGAGCCTGAAACTCCAAGTTTTTGGAGAGTGCGAAGGAGGATCTGATGATTCACCGTGTTGAATGCAGAAGACAGGTCCAATAGGATGATGACAGAGGAGAGGGATGCAGTTTTGGCAGTGTGCAGTTCCTCCGTGACAGCAATGAGAGCAGTTTCTGTGGAGTGACCTGCCTTGAAACCAGACTGGTGCGGATCCAGAAGGTTGTTCTGATTGAGATAACAGGAGAGTTGTTTAAAGACAGCGCGTTCAAGTGATTTAGACAGGAACGGGAGGAGAGAGACAGGCCTGTAGTTTATAACATCAGACGGGTTGAGAGTGGGTTTCTTTAGGAGAGGGTTTACTCTTGCCTCCTTGAGACTGTTTGGAAAGTGACCAGAAGTTAGAGAAGTGTTGATGAAATGGGTGAGAAACGGTAGAATATCAGGAGCAATAGTCTGAAGGAGATTTGAAGGGATAGGGTCCAGAGGACAGGTGGTAGGGCGGGCAGAAGTAATGAGGGTAAGAACCTCACTTGGAGAGAGAGGGGAAAAGGAGGTAAGTGTGTGGGTGGAAGGAGGGTCTGGTGACCCAGCGGTGAGTAAAGGTGAGTCAGAAAAAGAAGAGCGAATATCATCAACCTTTTTTTCAAAGTGGGTAACAAAGTCGCTTGACAGAAGGGAGGAGGGGGGAGGGGCTTTGGGGGGGGGGTCCAAGAGGGTGGAGAAGATGGCAAATAGTTTTTTAGGATTGGAATAGGAAGATTGGATCTTATCTTGAAAGAAAGTGCTTTTTGCCTGAGAGATCGAAGCAGAGAAAGAGGAGAGGAGAGCCTGATAGGTTAGGAGGTCGTCACGGTGTTTGGATTTCCACCATTTCCGCTCTGCTGCCCTAAGGACGGTTCTATTAGCACGCAGTGCATCATTCAGCGAGGGAGCAGGAGGGGACTGACGAGCCTGCCGAGATGTGAGAGGACAGAGCGAGTCCAGAGTGGATGAGAGAGTAGAGAGGAGAGTTTCTGCAGCAGAGTTTGAAGGCAGGAGTTGGAACGAGTCAGAGGAAGGGAGGGCTGAGAGCACCGACGAGGCAAAGCTAGAGGGGGAGAGGGAGCGAAGGTTACGGCGGACAAGTGCAGGATGAGAAGAGATTAGTTTGTTATGTTTGGAAAGGGATAGAGAGAATGAAATGAAGAAGTGATCGGATGTGTGGAGCGGGTTTACAGAGAGGTTAGAAGTAGCGCAGTTCCTTGAGAATATGAGATCAAGGACATTGCCAGCTTTATGAGTCGGTGGGGACGGAGACAGTGAGAAAGCAAAGGCGGTTAACAGAGATGTTAGTTCGTCTATCTTCCCCGTCTGGAGGTTGAAGTCTCCGAGAAGTACAGCGGGAGGGCCAGTTTCAGGGATGAGTGAGAGGAGATTATCTAATTCCTCCAAGAAGTCCCCCAAGGCGCCTGGTGGACGGTAGATAACAACAATGGTTAACTGTATAGGATGGGTTACTGTGACGGCATGGAATTCAAAGGTGGAAGGAGTGAAGTTAGGTAGCTTGAAGAGGGAAAAGCTCCATTTGGGAGAGAGCAGGAGACCAGTGCCACCCCCTCTGCCAGTGGGTCTGGGTGTATGGGAGAAGGAATATGCAGTGGAGAGAGCTGCTGGGGTGGATGTGTTGGATGGAGTAATCCAGGTCTCAGTGAGAGCAAGGAAATCCAGAGACTGCAGGGAGGCGTAGCCAGAGATGAAGTCAGCCTTAGGAACAGCTGACTGGCAGTTCCACAGGCCACCTGAAACTAGATGTTGGATCTCAGTGGAGCACGTGGATCTCAGTGGAGCACGTGGGATAACATGACGTGATGACATGACGTCAGACCCTTTCCTTCACACATACTGTCTGTGATGCGTTTATCACATTGAATCTGATCCGCCTTAATTGATAGGTTTACCTTTGGCTTTACTTCAAAGAAAGATGGTGGCATCATGTTGTACTGGAAGTGTGTAGTCAACAGTCGTGGAGAGGGCCTCTGTTCAAGTTCGAGGGAGGCGGTCTGCTGCAATTCAAGCCAGGGAACACGTTTCCAGTTAACAATCGTGTCAACAGGTGCTGGATCTCCTCCACTCATGATCAGAGGGACAATCTCCTGCATCCAGTGTGTACCTAAACAAAAAAATATTTTCTTAAATATGTATTTATTAGCCCTTGTAAAACTTGGGGTGAGGTGAAATTATACCCATTTTCACCCCACCCTATACTCGTTTGCTTGTGCTTAAATGCGGCCTTCAGAATAAGATAACCACTAATTAATTACTCGTGAATTGTTAATACCATGAAAACATTCCCAAAGTCACAGGCAATAGCCAACCAGGAGGGAGGGTTCTTTCTTATCTTGTGTGCTTGCCAAATGTAATACTTCATACACAAACACACCATCCAAAAGATGGTTCAACTATTATTGAAATCTCTGGCCAAATGTCAATCTCCACTCTGTCTCAAGTTAACTTCTTATTTCATATGATTTTACAAGAAATGTTACTATGTCGTTTGGATATTATGTTGAATCACCAGTAAAAACATTGCTTTGTAGCTATCTGTTAATTGTTTGTGCAGATTTAATACATGAAGGGACACACCATTAGAAACAACTTAAAGGGGACCTATCATGCAAAATGCACTTGTTGATGTCTTTTCTACATAACCATGTGTCCCCGGTGTGTCAGGGAACTCACGCAGCGTCAGAAAATAAAACCCTCTCTCTTTTCCTCCGTACCCAAATCTCTAAAAACGGGGAACAACGGAGCTGATCCAGATTTGAGTCCGATATGACGTAATATCTGAAATGTGGACCCACGGCCCAATCAGAAACGTCGCTATCAGAAACAATGGCCGACTGTTTTGGACGTAATATGGTCGGTGTTTACATTAGCATCGCTAACACTCAGAGCTAACCTGTACTGGAGAGCATGTGTGTGAAGAAGCTGGATATCAAAAGGAACTCACCTTGTGGTATAACCGGCAAGAGAGAAAGCCTTTGAGCTCCATACTGTTTCAGAGATAATCCTCCCGCATGAGCCCAGCTTTATACCCCAAAATCAGCACTTTTCAAACAGGAAGTGAAATAGAGGGATGTGAGGCATGGCTAGAATGGGTGATCTGTTTGGTATTTTGAGCAAAACACTTCATAGACATGTTTTTTATATATTTGTATATATCTGAGACCTATGCTATTGCCTAAAAATAGCATGATAGGTGACCTTTAAAACATTAAGTAAGTCCAAATCAGAGGAACTAACTTGTTGATACTTGGATCATTGGCATACAGTAGTAGGGTCATTGTCCTCAACCGGACCTCCGAGCATGGACAGAGAGATCATGGTACTGCTGTAGGACCCCGGATGTCTTTGAACACTGCCTAACGACAACCCATCTGAAAAATTAGCTAGCTATAGCTAAAGCCCATCTTTTACAGTAACAGAAAACCCAGTAGGCTACATATATCTACACTGCAATTATCAATGAAGTATATTTTGAAAGACATGGGGTCTAGTGTTTAACAAAGGTGTTCAAAAACAAAACAATGACGGCAGGCAGGGTTTTATAGGCATTCTATTTAAACTATACTTTTGGACACTACGTCACAGGAACGATGGAAAATAGCTATGTTTTAGCAGTGATCAACAACATTTGGAATTGTTAGATTGTTATAGAACCTTTTCCCTAACTGCCTGTGAAACTCTCTTTGGTGAACTGCTGCACCAGGACTCATATCGTGCGAATGGCAAAACATATCAGTGCTTGTGAATTATTTTCACTTGCTCTTGTCTCATCTGCCTTCTCACAGAAATACAAAGCAGCAGGAAATGTCTTCCTTTTCATTTTACAATTATTTTACAAATCAAATAATAAAAACGTATCTTGAGTAGTGGTGCACACATTCAACACCTAACACTTACAACTCACCAGATTTGGGATACGTCATGATGATGATATCATCTGGGCGAAAAGCAAACTCTTCAAAGTATTTCAGACTCTCTGGCGTGTGCATAGATGAGACCACGTAGACCCCCTTGTACACCGTGTATAACTCTTCCTCCGTCATAGTTTAAGGTGCAGAATCTCTGTGGATGAGGGAATTTATATAGTGGATGATGTGTGAGTGCTCGTTCCCTATTAAAGGAAAAGGCATTGAGTAAATATTTAGCCTGGACTGTCAAACATCCCCCGGACTCACACCTTTGCCATAGTTTATAATCCAAATGAAACATTTTTCACCTTTAGAGTTTAAGGCGAGACACGGAAGGCAAAAACATAGTTTTTCAAGTACTGGTCAATTTTGAGATTTTGTGCTATTTTGATTCTATAACATGTTTTCTTTCAGGCTTTTGGAAGGAAAACGTACAAAATACACATTTAAGTGTTTATTTTACTATAGTTTGTCTATTTGCGTCTGTAGATTTCTCCTAAATTCACCAAAAGTTAGCATTCTAACGTAACCGCGTGACCGCCGGCTCTTTTAAGTGAACGACGGGAGCCGTTTTTTTTTTGTTTTTTTTTGCGGAGGGATCTAGATCGGCATGAAGGCACATTATGCAATGTGCACATTATCCCGCTTATTACACATGGCCACATTCTCAACAAAGTAACGACATGACTCCCAATATTAAGTGAAATGCTTTTATGGATTTAGAAAATCATTTTATTGATTTAAAAAATAGTTGTATGTATTGATTTAAATTGACATGCATCCGCTAAGAAAAATAGTCCGTTGTTACTGTTTGAACTAACGTAGGAACTTCTTCGATAGCGTTTTTGAGGAGCTTTTTGATTACAGATTTGAAAACATCGTTGCTTGCTTTAAAAGTAGCACACTTCATGATGTCAAACCTTGGAAAATATCTAGATATCTATGCCCTAATGCCAAAGTAACTGGCAACTGAATATGTGTCGCTGCGTAAAAAGGAGGGTTTCTGCCCCGTTACTTCTCTTCTTACTTCTATAAGAATAAAACACGGAGGACGGAGATCTCTTTTCCTCCCCCTCTTTTCCCCGCTGCAGCCCAGCAGCTGATCTCAGAGCACGCTCCCCTCTCCTGCAGGGGGGCGTGGTCAGCTGCAGCTCACAGAATCAGCCCCTGCAAAAACAGCGCTGGAAAGAGCAAATAGAGCGAAATGAGGCATGGCTAAAATGCAGGATCTTTTTGGTATTTTGAAAAAAAAACTATATTTATATAGGTATGGCCCTACAATATATTGTTCAAATATAGCATGATCGGTCCACTTTAAGTAATACAAGACAGAATGATGATGATCTCGGTGCTACAGGTGATGCACTGTCTGCAGAACCAGTGTCCACAGCTGGTAGAGACTGGATCCCTCAGGACGTCCTGACACAGAGCACAGCTGGTAGAGACTGGATCCTTCAGGACATCCTGACACAGAGCACAGCTGGTAGAGACTGGATCCCTCAGGACGTCCTGACACAGAGCACAGCTGGTAGAGACTGGATCCTTCAGGACGTCCTGACACAGAGCACAGCTGGTAGAGACTGGATCCTTCAGGACGTCCTGACACAGAGCACAGCTGGTAGAGACTGGATCCTTCAGGACGTCCTGACACAGAGCACAGCTGGTAGAGACGGGATCCTTCAGGACGACCTGACACAGAGCACAGCTGGTAGAGACTGGATCCTTCAGGACGTCCTGACACAGAGCACAGCTGGTAGAGACTGGATCCTTCAGGACGTCCTGACACAGAGCACAGCTGGTAGAGACTGGATCCTTCAGGACGTCCTGACACAGAGCCAGACCCGGCGCCAGAACAAATCTAAAGGGAGGGCCTATGATTTTCATGGGAGGGCCCACAAAACCGTCACGTGCCTGCGGCACAATATATATCAAACAGCAAGGCCAACGGCATTGCGCAAAGACGCACACTTATCGCAAACATACACAAATATAAAGGGCAACGTAGAAACCACTTTGAAACATTGTGTGCGTGGCAGCACAGACACTGGTAAATCACGAGCAAGGCACACTGGTTAAGGATGGCAGCTTCCTCATCGCTGCACTCGGAGAGAAATAGTAGAGACGGAGTCGATGAGCTGTTTAGCCCGCCTTGGGCATGGTTTATGTTCCGATGCACTGCACTCGGACATGCTGTGGAGTGAATCGAGTCACCTCTGAGAGGGAGTTGGTTGACAGCTAAAAAAGCTATAATATCAACGACAGCTGACACGTAATAACGGCTCCGTGCAGCTGATCTGCACCAAAGTTCTAATTTCCTTATTTGTTTCCTCGCGTATCTGTCTCTCTCTCCACACACTCTCACATTAAATGTGTTCTTTTGATGCGGCATGCCTTAGCAGTCCTTTATCAGTCTGTAATGCGTGTTTCCAGTCGCAAAAACCTTTGACAGTAAAAGCCGCATCAGATGAAGACACAAGGCTGCGTCTGCTTTTAACGAATCTTCAACAGACTGGCAAAAGTGCGGTTCTTTCCTGAAAACAATCTCCCTGGATAACGATCCAGCTTCACCTGCTTGGGTTTATTAACCCCCAGATCATCGCTAACTCAGCCCGGGGTTTGCCGAGGTCAAGCTTGTGACATTAAGGCGTGCTGCTGCAACGGCAGGTGCAGGGTCGCCAGCAGCACCATCGGCTGCAGTTCTTTCATCGCTATTTCCATTTTGTAATTCAAACAGAAATGGGAGTCTACAGAATGCACAATAAACAAATCCAGAATAGGCGGCAGAGTGTGACGCTGTGATTGGTCTAAATGGGGACGAATCACAAATCACAACAGACACATGCATTTATTTGACGTAGCCTGGCGCCTGCGATTTTGTTTTAGTTCTGACATCACATACATCGTAGCATAAAAGTTCACAGTTTATTTATAATTAAAAAAATAAAATAAATATATTTTTTAATTTGTATAAATAATAAAAAAACGTGTTTATTCAGGGAGGGCAGGAATGTCAAATGGGAGGGCCTGGCCCTCCCTGGCCCTCCCACGGCGCCGGGCATGCACAGAGCACAGCTGGTAGAGACTGAAGATTTGTCCTCTTCCTCATCTTTGAAACCACTCATCTTCTCCAGTCTGAGAGATCACATACACACACACACACACACACACACACTCACTCTCACACGCACACACACTCACTCACACACACACACACACACACACCACACACACACACACACACACACACACACACACACACACACACACACACGGTTAAACTAAATGAAATCAGTCAGACTTCAGGCCGCTCTCCATGTTGACTGCGCTGGGCTGTCACATGTTATGTAACTCTGATGAATCAGAAAACAGGAAATAATAAAAGTTCACAACACTTGCAGAAGTCTCATTGGACTCTAGGACGCAGATTTTTAACCAAGTTATTTTCTGACATCCAGTAAATAATAAATGTGTTGGAAAGCAGATCCTGGTGTTAACACTCACCCTGTTGTTCTCCTCCTGCTGTCGAGCTGTAAAATGGCGTCTGGCAGTCTGACTTCATACTTTCACCTTCCCTCACCTGTCTGCAGCTCCTCCCTTTGATTCATAACCAGCCTCACCAGCTGAACCAGTTCACATACATCACTTTGTTCAGTGAGATAGAAAAAGACATGCAGCTAAAAACAAGCTCAACAAAGTCATCAAAAGGACACAACATCCACACATCAGCCTCCATAGGATATCATTAAATCTGCTTTATATAAAAAACAATGAACAGCGACTTAAATAAAAAACACAAAGCTACATTTAACTAATTTACAAGATGTGCCAAAATCAGGGCTGAAATAGAGATTTCACCTCCAGCAAGGTGGAAGGAGGAAAAGTGTTTTAAATAGGGGCAGAGAAACAGGAGAGAAGCAGGCTGCAGCACCTCACTGAAAAGTGTTTTAAATAGGGGCAGAGAAACAGGAGAGAAGCATGCTGCAGCACCTCACTGAAAAGTGTTTTAAATAGGGGCAGAGAAACAGGAGAGAAGCAGGCTGCAGCACCTCACTGAAAAGTGTTTTAAATAGGGGCAGAGAAACAGGAGAGAAGCAGGCTGCAGCACCTCACTGAAAAGTGTTTTAAATAGGGGCAGAGAAACAGGAGAGAAGCAGGCTGCAGCACCTCACTGAAAAGTGTTTTAAATAGGGGCAGAGAAACAGGAGAGAAGCAGGCTGCAGCACCTCACTGAAAAGTGTTTTAAATAGGGGCAGAGAAACAGGAGAGAAGCAGGCTGCAGCACCTCACTGAAAAGTGTTTTAAATAGGGGCAGAGAAACAGGAGAGAAGCAGGCTGCAGCACCTCACTGAAAAGTGTTTTAAATAGGAGGAAAGTGTGCATAGATGCTCAAATACGTGTTCATGCAGCATAAAAGTGAGAAAAACTAATTGAAATGGCTTAAAAAGCACAAAGTGATTTAAGTGCAGTTCCAAGATTCCCCACAGGAGGGCTCCAGGGAGCGCATCACCCAACATGAGCACAGTGCATTAACAGCAGAAAATACGATCAATAAAGGCAAATCAATTGATTTAAAGTGCAGGGAGGCTCCACACCAGGCACAGGTACATCCCTACATCCCCACAATAGTGACACTGATGGTTTGAAGTTGTTTCAGTGGGGAAAAGAGTGCTAAAAGTCTGCTAACAGTCTGCTAACAGTGTGGTAACAGTCTGATTGTTTTAGAGACCCATAGTAATCATACAATAAATCATTTACATCTAAAAGTATTGATTACAATTCATTTTTAGGGGGAAAATGGCTGATGAGGCATTTTGGTATTTTGGGCAAAACACTTCACCCAACCCTGTATATATATATATATATATATATATATATATATGCCGTTAAAAACTCTGCAATATATACCTGGCTGCTAAATCCTTAGAACTGTTACAGAATGTGTATTTTGTAAATTGTATAACTTTTTATTTTATTATATTTTTTATCATACTACTTTTTTTTTTAACTTTAATACTTTTTTTTTGCATGTACAGTAGCATAGGTAACATTAAGCTGTATGTGGCTCTTTTCTGCTGTAACAACGTAAATGCCCCCTCTGTGGGACTGATTAAGGTTTTCTGATTCTGATCTGATTCTGAACTACGATGCTCAACAGCTCGCTAAACAGAACTTTGACGCTGGTATCAGTTTGGTTTCCCACCAATCACGGGAGTATTGTGTATAGAAAGTTATATTTCTTGCGCTACCTAAAATCCATGAAGGCAACATGACAGAGGGAGGGCTGTCACTCCAACACACTCTCATTCCCTAAACGTCCAGGAGCGACGCTTGGTCAGGGTCCATGGCGTCCAGTTGTGACGCACCGAGGCTCCTTCAGCTTCATAAACGGATGCAAAGAGCTTTCAACTGATTGCAATGTATTCCCATCGGCTGCGGTATTTGACGCTCAGGGAAGCACCGCATCCATTTATGTCGGCGGCTGTTAAAGGCAGGAGAGGTTTCTCAATACTCTAATTTCCCCTCCTCGACTCCTTTCCTCGACTCCTATCCTCGATACTTAGTCCCGCCCACAGGAGATGCGAGCGGAGGTCTGAGGAGGGGAACCGAGGAGAGAGGAGGGGAAGCAGCAGGCGGTTAGAGAAATGAGAACTCTTCTCCTCTGAGCGGTCATTTTAAAGAGACGTCCATCAATGATGACAGGAGGCACAGCAGCCCTCTGTCTGATGGACAGATGTGTTCATGACCACTTATATATTTACTTTTAATTCATTGACAGTGCGGTATAATGAGACAATAACAGGCTACAGATGCGGACATATACACACACATTTATGTGTATAAATATATACAATTTCAGAATCAAACAAGTATGAGAGCACTCTCATAATAACGTAACACAATCAGAGACTGAAATACCCCCCCACCTCTCTCTCTGGTGGCTGAAATGGGGAATTGAAATTACGGCCCAACAGTTACAAGTAGGCCTATTAAAAGTAAGCAGAGGACACCAAACCAACTGAGACCCGTCTGTCCACCGCATCTACGCACTGTACCACACACACCTACACACTGTACAACACACACACACCTACAAGTAGTAGTAATGATACCGCTTTCGTCTCATTAGTATGCATACAAAGTGACAGATGGACACGCCCCCAATTATGCAAATGAGCTAAGTCCCGCCTCCCATTGATCGACATCCTTTGATGTGGGGGTGAGGGGTCATCACCCCCTAGGGGTGAAATGCCCCCCTGTGTAGCGCTTTTGTTCGAAATCCTTTTGATGTGTGTTATGTGAAAAGCCCCCGGGCTAGCGCCTTTGTTGTCTAATTCTTTGATGTGTTGATTGAGTCTCTTTGAAGTTCTATTGTATGGCCCCCCTCAGAGCCCTTTTGTTGTCTAATCTAATTATGACGTCTAATCTAATTATGATGTCTAATCTAATTAGCCTTTGGTGTTTGCCCTTTGATGTGAGGTGTTATAACAGGCCGGTGTGACTTCACACTGGTGTGCTATAAACCTTTGATGTTAATCTAGGTGTCTCTTTTGGTGTCTCTTTATGCGTGAGACTGTCTACCCAGCCCCCCTCCCAGCCTCCCTTTTCTACCCCTTCCGGGGCTATGACGCTAACAAATAGTGAGGGGTGGAATTAGGTAGAAATACGCTCAAATGAAATAACAAGACAGCAATTCCATTTACCCAGTCACCTTTTCAAAAAAGAAAAATGGCAAGAGACGCCTCGAATGGGGTTTAATCAGCCTGTGACAATTTACAGCCATCCGTCCGTAGCATCAGTCAAGAAACGAATGCAGCAGCAGTGCGGGGGTCAGACGCCTACAGTCTCGTGCCCTCTTTTGGCAATGCGCGCGTTCATGTGTGTTGGAGGAGGGGCTCTGTGAGGAAGTGGCAGATTTCCCCCCGGTTTGACTGCAAAAGACTCTCACTTTTTACAGAGGGCTCCGCCTACCACTCAACATAACAAGCCCTGCCTTTCCTCACCAGATCATTTAAAAATGAGAACACCTCAAGGACATTTTTGTGAGCAGCAACCATGGATCTGGGAGAAAACAACTCTCTCACCGCGAGCTGCAGCCTGGAGAAAACGCCTGTAGGACCTCCATCCTCTCCAACAATCTGGACACCAGATCTCGACAGCTATATGGCAGATATTGATATTACGGGGTGGCTGGATATGCATCAACCTCCATCTACTCCATCCAAGTCTCCAGGGGGATCAACAGCAGTAGGCATTGATGCGCCATGTTTTCCTTGTGCTCCCGAGGTTGATGCTAAAGAACGTGCTCGGACATCGTCATTCCTGAATACGGTAAAAGCAGTTGTAGTTCATCTGTTGGACAGGGTCGTGTACCTTTACAGAAAGGAAAAATGTTACGGATGTCAAATCGATCACCCAAGTCAGAGGCGGCACAAGTGTTTATTTCCGACCGAAGAATACTATCTGGATCGAAACTATGATGAAGTGGTAAAGAGACTGTGGACCGATCGTTTCATTCCAGCCATTCGGGTCGCTCTACACCAGGGCCACCTTCATGTGTCGGACAGGAGAGTCTTTGGAGCTACCGAGGCGATTCTGCACAATCTCAGAAACACCGGACTCTTTGAGGCTAAAATGAAGAAGCTTTACGAACAGCTTATGGAGAACGACGAGACCCATCTGAAGACTATAAGAGCAGCTTGGGCCTTTTGGCAGCAATAGGAAGAGTTTTTATTTTTTTTATTTTATCTGTTTTTATTTTAGGCTACTTGATCTAGTGTGTCCTTCCTAAAAATCATGTTTATTATTCTCTGCTTAGAGAAAATGTTTATTTTTTATACATGTGTGACATATCAATAAAATGCGTTGTAAGAAAAACTGTTGTACTCATTACCTCATCGGGCTGTAACAGGGAATATGTCTGAGAAACGTGTCATGCAAAAGGTGTATTACATTCCTTCTAATCCAGGGAGTTTAGGAGGTGTGGATAAACTCCATAGAGCTGTACAGAATGAAATGGGTAAACAAGTAAATGTAGAGAAAGTCAGAGAATATTTATCTGAGCAGGATGCATATACTTTACATAAGCCGGCTCGGGTGCATTTTGTAAGAAACAGAGTTTTCGTACTCAGACCGCTGCAGCAATTTCAAGCAGATCTCTGCGATATACAGTCGCTGTCCGAATATAATGATGGTTTTAATTATTTGTTAACAGTCGTAGATGTATTTTCGAAAAAAGCCTATGCTCAAGCATTAAAGAAGAAGACGGGTATTGAGGTTACCCAAGCCTTTGATACAATTTTAACACACAGTGAGATTCCTAGAAAGATACAAACAGACGCGGGGAAAGAATTCTTTAACAAAGTTTTTCAAAACTTATTGAAGAAATGAGGTATAGCACATTATGCAACCGCCAGTGATATGAAGGCATGTGTGGTAGAGAGATTTAACCGTACGCTGAAAACTAAAATGTGGAGGTATTTTACAGCTAAAAACACTCAGATATATAGACGTCTTACCTGAACTAATTGAAAGTTACAATAATAGTTATCACCGAAGTATTAAGATGACACCATTGCAAGTGACATTGCAAGTGAAAATGCGGCTCAAGTGTTCCGGAACCTGTATAACCCTTCCAGCCTTTGTAAAAAAGCTGTTGCCAAAATGAACTTTAAGGAGGGGGAGCTTGTAAGGATATCCAAATTGAGAGGGGTATTTGATAAAAAATATGAGCAGAGTTATACGGACGAGTTATTTACGGTGTCTGAAGGCATACCTCGACAGCCACCTGTTTACAAACTCAAAGATTATGATGGAGAAGAGATCAAGGGGACTTTTTATGAGAAAGAGTTACAAAAAGTAAAGATATCCAAGGACAAGGCTTTTCAAGTCGAGAAAATTCTAAAAAGGCGGGTGATGAGAGGGAAAAAACAAATGTTTGTATCTTGGCATAATTGGCCCGAAAAATTCAACAGCTGCAGGTTGATGCAGGCGAAATCAAAGATGTATAAAAGCAAACAGAATCAACGCTCAGTCCTTCATTACAGCCATGGAGATAAATGAAGGGTTCTACATTACGCTGCCGTCCAATGCCAGCCTTGATGTATTTCAAAACAATACAAGCTCTAGTTATCAGGTGAACCTGGCCCAGCCTTTACACTTGGATGGTTCGTGGCAAGTCGCCATGACAGAAATGTCATACCCGCACACCTGGTACAATATACCTTTTGAAGTAGCCTACTTTGAATGGATAAAGGAACCAAAACTCCCCGACATATCTAATAAGTTAAAACTTCATATGTTTAGAGCTGGTTACAGCATAGCATAACTCAGCTCATGGAGGAACTAGAGTCCTGCTTCAGAAAAATTGACTCTGATGTCACTTTGTACTATAGTCCAATTCACAGGAA